TTGATGGTTTCTGTAGACGCCTGTGCCCGTGTATGTTCGGAGGCGGTGCTGCGTGCACGAACTACCTAAGCGCTCGTGATTAAATCAAGCACGTGTAGACCCCCCTGCCCTGTACATACCCAGAAACAATTCCAGGAGAACCCCTGAAGCTCCCGATGCCACGCCCTGAGTCCAAAGTGTGCAACGCACGGGAGCACAAGCATTAGCTTACAAATTACAATACGGCACCGTGGCGTAAAACGCCCGTAGGCAGCATAAATGTCAGTCAGCCGTGTTGCCGGTACCAAGTGCTGCAACATCTTGTGCAGCACAGGTCTAGTCTCAGCACCGGGACTGGTAGCATGGCCAGTTGCAGCACTAGAGCTAGCGGCTGTAAAGATATGGACCCCCCATAAGCCCTAAACCGCCGAGAAGCCCTACTCTTAGTGGCTGAGTAGGTAACCTTTAACCTTTTGCGGTTTATATAGTCCTACCATAATTGAAAAGGCTAACCTTTTTTGGGCTAGGGTACTCAGCCCCTAACTATTTACATTGGTAGTAAGCCCGTTTTGAAGTCCAAAGTGGCGCGAGGTGTTGGCATGGTCTGGGCTGCACACGTTCAGGCAGAACGGATTGGGCCTGGGCGAACGGGAAGGGGCCTTCAAGTACATATTCTATATGATTCTACTATACTGTACCATGCTATACTTTGCTACACTACACTATACTACACTATGCTATACTACCGTGGACAGTTTAGCAGGCGCAGTTCCTTGGTCGTTCCGTGCTGCAGCCATTTTCCATGAAACCTTGTCTGAAGATGGAGACAGAAGCCCCCAGCATCCACAGGGTTCGGGGCTTGAGCTTGGGAAGCACAGATTGGTGAATTGAAACCGCCCAGAAGATACAAACACACCTCGCTTTCCAGACGCGCACCTGGCTTTGCCGATTGCCGACGATCCCGACCCGGCGCAATTAGTCTTAAGGGACAATAGGATATAAGCGCTATATACCCCTTATATAGTCTCATAAAGCCCCTATATAACCCCAAGGGTCCCTTTGAGGGTCCCTCCTTCAGTCCCTTGATTGTCAGAGACGTGAAAGAGCATGGCACTGGATGCGGCGGCCTCGTCATCTGCTGAGCCCCTCTCTCCCTTCTTGGCGACGGTGGCCGTCATGAGCCACGGCTTGATCTTGAGGTCAAACTGTTTGCGTCAGAGGCCGAGACATGCAACGGATGGTTTCGGAGTCGCCATCATTCCTGTGGTTTCCTTGATGTAAGAACATTCAACGATATACCCCAAAGGATCCCTTAAGGAACCCTATTCTATTTCTGAACGCCCCTATGCTAGCGCCCTGAGCCCAGGAAGGCCATTGTTGGACTCTGCTGCCTCACGCTGCCTGCTGCCTTTGCCGAAGTACGGCTCACATTGGCACTTCTTGGGCCGCCTGGCGCTTTGCTGTTTGCGAACAGTTCAGGGCTTTCGGTTTATGGGCGTCAAGATATGGTGAAGACGTGTCTTGTGCCTTGGAGGGCTCTGACACCAGTACTTTCCCAACCAAAGGTGGTCGCAGTCAATTCTGTGCGAGTCTGTGATGGGATGTGGCGCGACTACTTTTCTTGGCTGTGTTTGATTGTGGGCAGTGTGCTGAAGGAAGGGTTTTGGCATGGAAAACCCTGCATCTTCTGATCCTCGACTTCCTTCCATGAGCGAAGGATCGTCCTGGTTTGCGTGGCACTGGGTGCCGTCCTCGGCTCTCCCGGCCATGGGGTTGTGGACGCTTCGGCCATTTACTCTGACACTGAGGTACCGGCACATACCGAGTGGCTCAGTGCTACGTACAGATCCGTCGTTCGCAGGATGGGGGAGAGGCGGGTTGGGTCAGCCGAGAATTGGAATCAATCAGGGTCGCTCATCTTCTTGCACCATTCGTAGATGACGCCTGTTCTTATCAGTCCCATTTGCTGCCAGTGCGATTGCAAACATGTTCAGCCCTTCTTGATCTCCTTGTTTTCATATGCAAAAAATTCAGGGCCCCGATGCATTACCTACTCTAAGAGGCGATCGCTTTACCCGAAGACCTAGAGCAAAAACCCCTAGCTAGACCGTGACTCCTTCATCCAGAACTCACAATCCCACCCTGAAACCTCCCCAAACCCTAGATACTTAGCAACCCGAAGTCTTCAAAGTCCAAAAGCCCAATCAATCCCAAACTCTAAACTCTAAACCCTTAAAACCCCTAACGCCCCTAAACCCCTAAACCCCAAGCCCTAAACTCTAAAGCCCCTAAAGCCCATAGAGCCCCTAAAGCCTCTAAACCTTAAGCCCTAAAACCCCAAACCCCAGACATTAAACCACGAAAGCCCTAAAGGCCCTAAACCTCAGCCCTCAGGTGGAGCATGGACTCGGCCCTCTGGGAGACATCTCCCGGGAGGCGCGAGCGGATGGGTTGGGTTTTCGATTCAGGAATTCAGGGGTTTGGGATTTTGATGGTTTAGCGTTTTAAGGGAAGTTCAGGATGTATAGGGGTCGAGGTGTAGGTTCGAACTAGGGGTCTAGCGTCTGGGATTTAGGGTTCAGGCTTGGCGTAGGGTCAGGCTCTGGGGATAATAAAGGAAAGCAGTTGTGACACATGATTGTGGTCACATGAGTGTATTCGTTACTATCGTAGT